GCATGCTATGCGTCTCTCGGCGACAGAAACTCCCAGAGTGCCCTCTCTGGAGTGCAGTGCCTGCCACAGTGTGATATATCCTGAGAAGCCTGGAAATGCAGTCTTGAGCATGTATCAGCACACACGCCATGCACAGATTATCAATGTTTAATGAATCCAAATACCATAAAACATGCTTGCAAGACACTGTTCCCATCACAGTTCTGAAAGTGAATGAGGACACCACAGCACCCTGCAAAGCTGGCCACTGGGTGGAGCTGACTACTGCCAGCCCCGCTAGGAAGGTGCTCAGTAACACAGCTATCTATTATTCCGTAGCCGACTGCCAAGGATGCCTGGGTATTTCCCTCAAAATCATGGCTCCATGTTTATACTAAGAACTTTTCGGCACAGTGCAAAGCCCTCAGCAGCGTCTCTCCCCCCACCTGACCAGCCAGTCTGCACACTTCTCTCAGTAGCCTAGGATCCACTGACTGTGTTTAATCTCGCTTTCCATTGTCCTAAGCTCCTGCATCATCGGACCCTACCCTGTTTTTTTCTGTGTTTATTTCACACTGGGAAGAATACCACCCCCCCAGTGACGATCCCTGATGGGGACACGTGAAGCATACTTAGAGCGAGCCCCAGGCTGCACTGAGATAAAGGCTTGGAGTGGTGCAACAGGGCACAGCCCTATGCCTTCCACCTTCCTCAGCTCTGCAGGCAGGTGTTCCATGGATGCACCACCCATGCCCTCAGAATCACTGCCTGCCACATCTGGGGCCCATCAAAGCCTCTTTTCCACAAAATTTCTAGACAGATGTACTCCTCTCCTGTTAAAACGACAAATTATTCCGTTCTGTCCATACCTCAAATTCCTCCTGGTCTCCTGTTGCTCATTTTCTCCCTGCCTAGGCCCACACCCCCTTCTCTCCTCTGAATCTCTAACCTCTTTGTGGGGCCAGAGGTGAAGCACTGTGTCTGTCCAGGAGAACATAGTGTAGATTTGGTCCCAAATCCTCTGCTCAGGCGCTCCACTCGGCACACTGCCAATTTGGCCAACAGGACAAGGGAAGAGTGTGTCCCCTACAAGTCACATCTGCTGGACACCAAAGGAAACTAAGTGAGTAAATACAGGGAGCTCCCCAGCCCAGCAGGCTCCTCATGAGTGAACATCCCTGCCTGCCCAGCCCCAGCATGCCACATTCTTACTTTTGTTCTCTGGATTCACCCTCAATCCCATCTCAATGGGTAGACACAGAAAAACATTTTGTCCTTAAGCTGTCCTAATTGCTGTCCCTGCTGTATTAAAGAGAGAAGAATGGCTGTGTCACCTTTTCACTGGCTGCTTGGTCACGCTCTGGCCCTCTGGGAAGGAGCTCACAGTCCGGTCTGCCCAGGCGCCTCTCAAGGCATGCGCATGGCTCACTTCCTCTGGCCCGAAGACCAAGCGCAGCAGGTAAAGGGCAACGGAGGAGCGTGTCATGGCAGGAAGACTGGCCGCAGAGAACGGAGGTAAGTAAACGTGACTGCAGGCTCGGTCACCTCTCCTTCCCTTGACCGTATTTTCTTCTTCTGAAGACTCCTTAGTCCTTCACACTGCAACATCTGGAGGCACCCGGCCCTTGCCATTTATCACCTCTCAGGCTGAACCATCTCATCTGCCAAGATTCTCAGTCCGAAACAGCTACACACTTGACTCCCTGGGACGTCATCTAAAGCTCAGAGGTCTCCTAAGAAGCTAGTTACAGAATATCCAAGAAGGGAGGCAGCAGGTACACAGACCAGACACGGCAGGTGTTGGCATGATCCAAGAGTACTCATAAGTCATCCAAACACACCTAGGGCTGGGAATGTGCCGCAGTGGTGGAGCACCTGCCTGAAAAGTGCAAGGTCCTAAGTTCAATTCCTGGTGCCAAAAACAAAAGCTGCTTTTGAAGCAAAATTCCCTTGTGGCCTGAACCCTTGAGGTTCATGTACTTACTTGTGAAATAATATGCAACTGTCTTAAATGATGGCTCCTGAGCTCCTTGCTTCCACTTCGCACAGGGACATTTTTTAATAAATGTTAATTTTTTTGTAAGAGGACATTTTTAACAAATGTTAACCATATGATCTTGTGCCTCTCCTCCCATCCAAAATACAAATGTGATCTTCTGAAGAACAGTTTCTATCAGTGTCACCTCACTTTCCCAGTTGAGGATTTACACCCAGCTCAGTAACGTGCCTTTGGTTACTGAATTCTCACAACTGTGCTGCCCACATTTTAAGTCAGGAATGCGGGCTGCCTAGACCAGTCCTAGCGGGAGATGGCGCAGCCGAACCACCAGACCTCCAGAGGCACAGATGCAGAAATGGCCCAGGCTTACTGCTACATGTCAACTTCTTTCAGGTAAAATTACGGGATGAGCATGCAGATGTGAACTCTAATCTCAGCTGCGCTGGCACAAGCAGTCTGCGCCCCTGCTCTACAGCCTGCCTTGCACTAACAACTGTCGGCAGTCACTCCGTCAGCACTCTATGAGAATTAACTAATGTTTAAATATCTAAATAATCTTCTCAGGCACAGGAAAGGTAGGCAATTTTAAAGCCTTATACATGTTTTGGGGAGAGAGAGAGAAGGAGGGAGGGAGGGAGGGAGAGAGAGAGAGAGAGAGAGAATGTAGATCAAAATACAGCATCAAAACTACCTTTTCAAAGGCAGCTGTCCCAGGGCCTTGGCCAGACCCTACTAATCAAGGGCCTTGGAGAGGAAACGGAGGTGACAGAGTGCTCTCCTCAAGAACACCTGTGCCTGGATAACTTAATGCTGGCCTAGACATCGACTGTGTCTGCTGTGATTGAAAAGTCTGTAGCTAGGTGCGGAAACACTGGGCTTTGGGATTATCAAAGTGACTTCTGCAGACCAAAAGGCTCTTTAACACTGTGTGCTACAGTCATGCTGCACTTTTCTCAATAAGCTACTCTGGGCCAGGGAGATGGCTCAGTCGAGTAAGCACTTGCCTGGCAAGTGCAACAGTCTGAGTTCAATCCCTGGTTCCGCAAAATAAAATAAAATAAAATAAAATAAGCTTCTCTGTCCTATCTCTTTTAAAGCCTACTTTTATTTTTTTATTTTATTTTATTTTATTTTTGACAGAACTGGGGATTGAACTCAGGCCCTTATGCTTGCCAGGGAAGCGCTTATTCCACTGAGCCCTCTCCCCGGCCCTCCAACTTTCATATTTAAAGGCAATACATACCTTATAGATTCACATGAGATATACATAAAATCCTTAAAAACTAAAATATACATAGAGAAAATATATGCAAAGCCTATCAGAAATAAACAAAGCTTAATGAAATTGAAAAGAAAAAAGGAGTAAATTCTACTTTATGATGAAAATAACAATCCTCCAAGGTTCTTGACTTTCACCACAGTCCCAGGCCCGCTCACTATGAGTCACCTGATGCCATCACAGGGGACAGGGCCATGCTTGGCAGGTCTTCCAAATACTGAAACTGTTTCTCTTCAAAGTAGAAAAAAAAAAGAAATCACAGTGCTAGCTTCACACTTAATCTAATTTTCTCTCCACGGAGGAGTCATAGCACTATCAGAACATAACCAGCAAAAGCCACAGCTGTGAAAAAAGAAAACCAAGAATTAAACTTCAAAAAAGCCAACTGGGTGTCACAATCGGGCCACAGGGTTTCACAGAACACGCGGCTGTAAGAGTCTAAAAGAGCTCCTGGATGACTTGTGCTTCAAGGGACCATATCTTCTTGCCCTCCTCACCCCGGACGGAGGAGTGGGCAAGGAGGCACAGAACAGCACAGAACCCAGCTCATGCTGGGGACACGTATGCAAGCACGCAGCCTGAGCACAGGGCACACTAAGGCTTAGGGAAGACACTGCTCCCACGTTCTTCTCGTCCCTGCATATGTGGATACAACAGCCCACCACCCCTTTCATACACCACACTGCATAAGCCTATAATAATGAGATGCTGCTTAATCCCTAATAGGGAAAAGTGGCATCGATTTGTGCTTTGTTTGAAAGAAATGCCCGGGGTTCTCCTTCTCATTACCGAAAACAAACAGCTCTGCCCACTGGACGCCTATTTCTATCATTCAACTTTCAGCTGAAAGCAACACCCACTAACAGGTTTGCAAAAAGAAGACAAAAAAACACCCCTGGCTTTATAGAAAATTAAAGCTCCATGAGAATCTCACCTTCCATTCACAATTACCCAAGACAAAAATAATAGGGAATATGAAAATATTTAAAATTTATAAAAAGTATGAAAACAAAGTTAGGCCAAGCATCTTTAAATATTTACGTGACTGCTATTTGGAAAGTACTCCATTCCAATTAACCATTCCTAAACCCACAGGGATACTTGAATCCAAGGAGATTAATTATAACTGTATACCAGTTCAAAGTTATTCTTCTTTGCTGTCTGGTGTTCAGAAAGAGAAGCAGAAGAAAGCGAGCACATGCGTGTAGTACATGTGTATGTGCCTGTGTGCACACGTGTGTGGTGTGCACATAGGATGTTTATAGTATATAAGTGCATGCAGTTGTCATATGGCAAGAACGAGTCTGGGATGGCAAAGAAAAAGAGAAGCACACTTCAAAGAGGTCCATGACTGTGTTCCTTACTTGGAAATTACTGATGCCCAGTAGAGACCATCAATTCAAGAAGACAAAGATGGTGCTTCCTGCAAGTGTACATAGGTCAGTTACAAAAGGAGGTACAAGTGTAACTGATAGGTGCTGCATGTGTGCCTGCCAGCACAGACTACAGGTACATACTGGGTGCAGGACATCTAGGTAACCCATTTCCTTGAACACAGGGACTCTGGCCAAAGCTGCATGGGTGTGAACACTGGGAACACGATTACCAGGGCACAAAGCGTTTTCAGCTGAGTCCTCAGGTGCAGGATCACCTGAGCAGGTGACTGACTAGGTGCAGAGCTCCTGGGCAAGAGGCCACCCGAGCCCAGCTACGTGACCTAGTCCACCAAGTACATGTGCTCACCTGGTACTGATTCAGGCATGGGCTCCTCCCCACTGTCGTCAGCAGCCTCATCGGCCAGGCCAGAGCCTGGAGAGTCAACAGTGGCACAGGCTGAACCCGGGCTGCTGGGCTGAGAGGCTGAGTCACCCTCACTGAGTGAGCCACAGCGGGCACGTGCCACCCTGTCCCCGTTGGAGTCCCTATCTCGGCGTGCCCGGCGATGTACGCGGGAGTGCAGCACCATCTGGTGGTAGGTGCGGAAGATCTTGCCGCACTCAAAGCACTCTGAGGACTTGCCATGGCCAGCAGAAGCTGCAGCCCGGCGGCTGGGACGTGCAGCTGGCCGGGGGTCAAAGTGGCCAGGTGGCATGGGATCCCCTGGCAAACTTGCCCTCTTTCTTGGGGGACCTTGTGTGGTCGGTGCATCCTGCTCACGTTTGCGCTTCTCCTGGCTCACCAGAATGTATTCGCGTCTGTCCTTGTCAAAGGCCACACCCCCAGCCAGCGCCTCATCCCATGCCCCGTACTTGAGGTACTCAGCTGGCTCAGCCACCTTGCCCCTGGTGGCCAGCTGCCAAGCCTGGTAGCTGCTGACAGGGTCCAGCTCGGCCACCCGCCTTCCAGACTGCTTTCCAGAGGACGCATTACCAGCAACTGATGGTCTCAGATTCAGGCACTGTAGGAAGAACTGCTTTGTGTCCAGGGGACTTTCAGGGGTGGGCTCCTCGGCCAGGGCACGGGTCCGGCTGGCTTCAACCTTGCGGTGTATGGCGTTGTGGGCATTCAAGCTGTCCAGGTTTGTAAACAGGTTTCCACACTTGGTGCAGACTTCATAGAGGGACAGGCCTGCAACAATGACCTCTTCCTGGACCACATTGTTGATGGTGGCAATGGGGTCCAGGTCATTCTTAGGCCTGTTCTTGCTTCCCGTCTTTGGGCCATGTGCCTTCATGTGGTTCTTGAGGAACCACGGCTCCTTGAACCTGCGACCACAGATGTGGCAGCCGTGGTCAAAGGAACCCCGATGCTTCTTCATGTGTGCCTTCAGGAACCAGGTCTGGCTGAAGGCCTGGCCACACACCTCACAGGGAAATTCTCCAGGGCTCAGGTCAGGCTTGCCATTCTCCACGCAGGCCTCGCCACCATTGGGCACCTGCGCAGTGATGTGATCTCTTTCTATGTGGCTGAGCAGTGACTCCTCCCGCAAGGTCATGTAACTGCACAGCCTGCACTTGAAGGGCTTGTGAGCCTGGTGCACATGCAGCTCCAGGTCCTTCTTGCGCTGGAACTGGCTCTTGCAGAAGGAGCACTGGGTTGCAGCCTCAGCTTCCTCCATGGCATTGGCTGCCCCTTCCACATCCTTCCGGCTACTCCTCAGCAGGATCTTGCTGCTGTCCACCTGTGCTGCCCCATTGAGAATGCGGTTGCAGGCCGACGTACTTTTCGTGGGGCTAGCGCACCCATCCAGGCCCTCAGACACACGCATCTCACCCAGCTGCGCATCACCCGTCTCTGGCTCGTGTCCCTGAATCAAAGTCCCTGTGCGATGGCTCCGGATGTGAATCTTGAGGTTGCCCTTCTGGGATGCCCTGTGGTCACAGTAGGGACACTTGTAGGGCTTCTCTCCTGTGTGCTTGCGCATGTGCTGTGACAGTGAGCTCTGGAAGGGGAAGCTCTTGCCACATATGCAGCAACTGTGACAAGCAGCCTTGTCCCCATCCACTTCCTGGCTCCTGCTGGCCCTAGGTGGGCTAGGCCCTCTCTTCAGCTCCATCTCAGCCTCTCTGTTGCGATCCATTGGGACGTGTTCGGGGTTTGGAGTCACAGCTTTCTCTCACGTAGGCCTAAAAGAATGGTGTCTTATCTCTCCATTCTCAGAGGTGCCTCTGCTGCCCCAAGATGACATGAGATATACCTGCGACCAGGAGGTGCATGTTTCAGGTGGGGGGCTGGGAGACGGCAATGAGCACCTGGAACAGAGACAGAAATCTTATAAGCCAAGTTTATGATCACCAACAAGCACCTGCCGTCCTGCAGGCCCGCTGCCCACCAGGCCTCTCAGGCCAGAGCACTGAGCACAGGAGTGCCCAGCACTCAGGCCGCAGGGCTGCCCCCTCATGCTGCAGGCTCAGCCCCACATGGGGTCAGGATACAGGGTGTAGGCACTGAGAACGTTGCCCAGAGGACCAAGACAAAGGGTTTTGCTCACTAAGATCGGCCCGTCCCCTTTCTCAGGAGAGCACTGAAGTCAAGGTTTGCATCCCCAACTCCCTGGCCACCATCAGCCACTTAAAGCCCCCTGCCCACAAACCAGAGAAGACAATTTCCACCTTTCAGTAGATCTTCCACCCTGGAGTTGCTTAAATCTCTGCCCCAAAACTCACAGCATCCTGCGGTTTGCAGGAAATGTTTGCAGAACAGCCTAGGGCGACCCCACGGCCCTTCTTTCCGTTTCCCTCTTCTCTGCCCATCTTGTACTGCAAAATGCACTCTACCATAAATCCCTGGGAGAACTACACGGGCTACCTATCATTAAAGGACTCAAAAACACTCAGAAGGAAAAAATACCTAAATGTACAAGAGGAAAAAATGTTAACAACGTTTAAGCCCCAAACATCATTACCTTCGGGAAATGTGAACATACTCAGAGCTGCCACATTAGCTGAGGCACAGGAACCTCTCACCCCTGGCTCCCTCTGCTGCCCACTGATGACTAAGCAACCATTAAAACTAATTCTCTACACCCCCACCACCTTCAGGAGCAGAATCAACAGATTTCTGTGACTGTTCTCTCTGGCTATGATTGAAGACAAGGATTTTACCTCCACAAAAGAAGAGGACACCCACCCCAACTTTCTGCTGCATAGACACCATGGTAAAGCTCAAAGGGATGTTCACAGCACATCCCAAAGAACCCTGTAGGCCCTTAAAAGCCTCCAGCCTCTCTTGGCCAAGCTGGTCTCTGACAGCTTCCCCAACAACAAAGCACACAACGCCAACCACAGCACACCTGCAGCTCCACACTACTGCTTTATCTTCTCAGAGAACACCAAGTCCAAGGTGGCACACCAAGCCTTCCGAAACACATCAACCCATAAACGATGAGCCTCACAGAACTAGTGTATGGCAGCTGGTTACCCTGACCCAAGAAACTGGGATGTGTCCTGCCACTACACAGGACTGCAGGAGACATTCCCAGGACTACAAAGACAGATGGAGCACAAGAGCCAGGGCGGTGTGCACCACAGCCAGCTGAAGACACAGGAGGTCCGCGCCTGTGAGTATAGAGTCCACTCAAGGTGCACCATGTATGCGCATGAGTCATGGCTTTGTTGTTGCTGCTAGATGCATTACAAACTTTTTCCAAGGCTAAAACTGGGAACTCGCCAAAAGAGACTGTGATTTAATTGTTTCAGCATAGAAACGACTTGCTGATTAGGGTTTTAAATAGATTTCCAATGTAGCACTCACTCTGTGTGAGTTCCTGTAGAGACAGAATGAACAATATATTGAAGAAGGTGGATGATTTAATCAATTAATTTATTTTAAAATGGGAGAGTTTATTAGAGAAAAATGTATCTTTACTCTCTAAAACTGCAGGATGACGAAGATGCAGAGGGAAGATGCAGGACAATAGGACAGGAAAGTAAGTCACTGTAACCCCATAAACACGCACACAGTCCTGACCTAAGACACACGTCAGGCTACTGCTGCCCCTCAGGGCTGCTTTCTTCCTTCTCATTTTCTGTTTGGGGCCCAGGCCACAGGACTATATTTAAATGACTCTCCCCAGATTCCCTATATTCTCTGGATTTGGGATGAATTTAACCTCTGGGCAAGTGTTCCATGAATATCCTCCCTTAGTGAATAAGGAGCCTGGGAATGAACACAGTGCACACAGACACATCTCTCCTGGCACTCAACTAGGCGATGGGTAGAAAGAGCCCAGTGTGGGGAACCTTGGAGCCCAAAGCCAGGGCCCAGGAAGAAAAGCTCTGCTGCCAAAAGCTGTCACAGCACAAATGTAGGTGGACCATCTTCCTCAGTATCTCCAAGGCCCACACTCGACAGCACGCTCCTCAGAGGGCACACTCAGACCCAACAAGGGTTTTATCACAAGCACTTCCTGCGTGCCTACTGGGTACAGAGGCAGGTCAGGCGCAGACGACTCAAAAGACGAGCCTGGAATGGCGCTTAGCACCAAAGCACTCCCAAGTCAGACTGGGAGGCAAAGCTGCAAACATGCAATTATAACAAACATGCTGCCCGTGCACCTGAGAGACCAGAAGACTTGGGAGGGAGCAATGACTCTGCAAGGACTGGCAAGGTCGGCCCAGGAATTTGGGCCTGGGAATCAACTGAGTCCTCTGCATCACAGGTACCCATGGCACACACCAGCCTGCCTGGCTTCTCGCTCTTAACCAATATCCTGATAATCGATGCTCCACAGGCTGCCTGCCCTCCCCAGTTACTCCAGATCCACATGCCCTTAAAGCGACATGGGGTTCCAGAGCACAAATTAGTCCAGTCCCCTGAAAAACTCCAGCCCTTCACAGCTCCTGCCCTGCAAGGTGAGGCTCCAAAGCCAGCTCCACCTACAAAGGCCTGAACCCGTGCTGAAGCCTCCAGCCCCGCTCCACGGCTCTGCTGCTGTTCCTTTGTGAGCAATACCAATCCGCACCCACCCACCCCAGGTACAGACTTCCTGACCCACTTCAACCACAGGACAGCAAAAGAAACACACTATAGATGCCCCAACGATACACTGTCAAGAGCGATCAACTACCACACATTTCTGCCAATAACAGATCAGCTGTGTGATCCCAAGCAGGTTATCTTAGTCTGCCTCTCAGTCCATTTTTTTCATCCTCAAAATGTAATGACAGTACTGATACCTATACTTTTCTTGAGGTTTAGATCAGTGCATACAAGATACAATGTTTAACACTCAATGGTCAATGTATCACAGATTATTAACTGCTAAATAAATAAAGTGTAAAGGCAGTAACCAAAGATACCTGGACGCTAGCATTTGTACTACTTAGCTGAACAAATTCAAAGAGCCAAAAATAACAACAACAATAATAATAATAATAATAATAATAATAATAATAGCAGTTTAGAAAGCTAATTAGAAACAGCCAAAGGGCTGGGGAAATAGCTCAGTAGAATAAGCACCTGCCTGGCAAGTGCCGGGTCCTAAGTTCAATCCCCAGTAGTGGAGGTGAAAAAAAATAAAAAGAAAACATCCATATTTCTATACTTACAGTCAATTCTGAGGGCCTGCCAAATAGCTCAGCGGATTAAAGCACCTGCAAGCAGGTGTAAGGAACGGGAGTTCAGTCCTAGGCCTGCCATGCCCCACCCTGCCCCTGGGGCACACTGAGATGTCAATTGAGACTGGGCGTGGCACCCAGCACTTGGGAGGCTGATCGCTATGAGTCTGATATAGTAGTGGGACCCTGAACACCCTGTAGACCCTTCCCTAAAATATGGAAGGAAAAAAAAGAAAGAAAAATAAACAGCCAAATGATAATATATACTGGACCTTGATGTTATGCAGGTTAGTTAACATAACTAAAAATTCTTTTGCCAACAGCTGCAGCCGTCTACAACATACATGTTCAAGTACATTTTAGCACCAGAGGTCTATAAGGATTAAGCTGTAATATGGACTCAGTGTCAAACAATTCTTGGGAATTACATTGCTTTTGTTAAATGAGTAATATTGGAGAATGTTTCTATTCTTTCAAAATATGTGGTGAAATATTATGAGGCTATTTGTGAGAGAAAGAGGCAAATATATTAAAACGCTAACCACTGTTGGGTCTACCTGTCACACGCTCCCCGCTTACGAGTTCTGGAAGTTTCTCACCGAAGTTGCCCAAGCCGGCTCTAAAGGTCAGCAGGGCTCCGCGGCAGCCCCACCGCCCGAAGCCCCTCCTCCTGGGCCAAGGAGGCCCCGGGGCGCTAGGAATGCACTTTGGGAAATTACCTTTCCTTAATTCTAGTCTTCAAAAGAAAGCCAAAGCAAGAAAAATTATAGGAATGAAACGAATCTGTTTTAATGGATTTTGCTTTAAAAGCTGTTTTCTGGCGTCTGAGAGGCCTGCCCAGAGACCTTGGGGAAAGCCACTTGAGAGCCAGCCACAAGCTCCGCCCCGCGGCATCGCGGCAAGATGGGCCTCGCACCCACCCACGTCTGACTATTCGGGCTCCAGGACGGTCCTTTTCCCCTTGCTTCTCTATATTACAGACCAATAATTATGTTAAGGCTTCTCTTCCATACTGCAAACAGTAGGTTTCTGATCAGTAGGTTACTGCACTGCTAGGGAAAGAACGTATATTTTCACCTAGGCATGTCTGACTCTGCACCAGTAGTAAATCTTACCATTTTGGGGTTCTATGAACAAAAGCAGACCGGTTTTGGACTAAATTTTCTGAATCCAGCAAAACCAAACCTATCATTGACTCTTATCTGTAAAAGGAATCAGGGGCCTACATTTCAAATTTCAAATATGCTCCGTGCGGGATTTCCAAAACAACACAACTATGAAGTTTGCAGAGAGAGCCTGAAGCCAGATAGGCAGATTCCTCCAGAGGCCTGGAGGAACAAAGAGTCTGCTGGGAAAGTGAAAGTGCCACTTCTCCCCTGAGCTCCAGGACAACGACCTGCCTGTGTGTGTGGGAGGCCAAGCTGCAGGCCGTGCTACTTTAAAGTTACCACCGAGCTTGCTACTTCATTCAGCTCTGATTCATTAATTAACCCTAACAGGGCACTAAACAGGCACTGGGTCCACTTGTCCCTGGCCCTCTCCCCTCTAGTGGCCCTCCAGGGGCGCTGGTGATAGCCAGGGCTGGACAAGGTTCTGCTTGCATGTGCCCGCACTCCTGGGAACAGAACTAGGAGGATGGGCTGCAGGGGAATCCCAGCGACGAGGGGAAAGGCCCCAACCAAAATCCAACTGAA